CTGGCAGGGGTGTGTGGGGGGGGGGAAATCTATTCCCAGCAGGGCCCATGAAAGCTCCGTGCAGGGAGGCACCCTCATCACCTCCGTCTCAAGAGAGAAACCGGGGAAGTTGGCCGGCGTGCCCACGGCTCACAAGGCAGAGGCGGGGTACGAGCTGTGGCCTCCGTGATCTACTATTCTGTTTCTCTCAGGTACCAGCATCCCAGTGAAAGCAAAAACAGTCCTTGTTTAGTCCTGAGCTGCTAGCCCTGTAAAAATCGCCTTCCATTGATTTTCTCTGCAAATAAATAGCATTTCTGCCTCCATTTAACTGGGTTAGAAAAACATTTATAAGTCTGGGACTTAGGGATCCAACCATATCTCATCAACCGTTTCTGCTGGAACATCTGGTCCAAGCACAGGGAACAATTTGCGTTTAGGTTTGTAAACACAGGACTTCCTGTGCAGTTAAGCGGTGAAGTCTGTTAATCAGTGGTTTCAATACAGTTCTAACCAACTGTAAACGGAGACAGCATCCTCATCCCTAGAAACTTAACGGACTGTAGCAAAACCCATCATACATGCTCCTCTTCCCCAGTGTTATGAAACTGACCCTGTGGCACGGAATAAAAGCCTCTCAGGATCACTTGCTCTCAACACGCAGAAGTTAAACAGGGTTTGAGAGAAAATGCAGAAACTTTAACTGAAAGCTAGAACATAAAGGTTAAGTTACAGACCAGGCAGATTACTTTAAAATGTGCGGCTGAGAAGCAGTACCGCTGAGGTCAGGATCAGGGCTGGGCAAGCTTGTGTGAACACCTCAGCAGGTGAGGCCGAGGCCGGGCAGCCCTGGTCCACAGGGGACAGGCGGAGCGACCATGACCGTGGCCGTGGCCGAGGGGGGGTTCACCTCTGTCAAATACCTGCAGACCCCACAGGGCCATCTAACGCTGGATCAGGAGAGGCAACTCCCAAATCCCCCGGCATTTTAAGTGTTTAACAGAGACTGGAGTCACCAAGTCGAAAGAATGCCGTTTTAGGACAGGCCGCCTCTCAGGTGAACGCTGACCGTGTGTCACAGACGGCTTGCTGATAAAAAGGAACAAAAGTAGACACATGCGCGCACATAAAACAGTTGGACCTTTAGATGGTTTAATGCACTCGAACACAGTCATGCTTAAAGTTCTCCCAGGGACCAAAAATATTTACTTTTTCCTTATAAAGTCCTGGTGTAACAGATTGTTCCAGAAACATGATCTACTGCCAGCAAGGAAAACCTTCACCTTTTTCAGAAGTTTAGTCTCTTAAAATGTTCGAAATATCCTAGAGAGCAAACAGTGTAAGACATAAGTAGAGACCGTGGCAGGTGGCAGAAAAGAACTCGCGAATGCCCCGGCTGAGGGTGGCAGACACATCACACAGACGTAACAAAATTAGGCTCCTGACCTCCAGAGCATTTAAGTCGGGTCTTCTAAATGTGCAGCATGGAAGGCAAGGGACGTGGTGTCATGGCCGTGAGCGCATCCTGGCCTGGGATGCTCCCCCATGAACCAACTTCATGGCCAGATGTGGACCGTGGACTCTGCACATGGCCTGCGGTATCTTGGGGCACCAGTGACCTCCCGTGCAGCCCGGGCCCCACTGACGGCGCTGACTGGCGTCAACCAACAGAGGGCTTCTCCCTCCCTCCGTGCCAACCCGGCCTGCCGGGACCCAACTGTGTTAACAGCCGATAATGTTAACAGTGATAAATGTCCTGAGCATTTCCTGAGAGCCAGGCACCGCTCTCAGCTCCTGCCCCATATCACCTCACACACACAGTCCTGACGACAGCCCCCTGAACGGGAGCCAGGACTGTTCTCAGATGAGAGAACCTCTCCCCAAGGTTACAGCGCTCACGCAGCGGGCCAGCCAGGTTCACATTCAAGCAGGTGCCCACGGAAGCTGCGGTGACCCGCCAGGCTACGCTGGTTCCCCCAGAACTGAAACCCTGGCCTGAACCCGGGCTTCCCAGCTCGCGTGTCTAAAGGGGAAATGACACTAGCTTTCCATCCACTTTTTAAATTAAAAAAAAAATTTTTTTTAAGTGGGCCAAACTACCTCATGACACACACATCACGGTACATAAACACCGTGCTATTTGTAAACACAAATAATCTGTGCACAACTTACATCCATCCACACAACCGGTCGTTCGTGCTCTGGAGTGTCCGTGGCCTGACCCAGGACAGACTTCTCCCAGCCATTTGCCTGTTCTCTCTCTCCCCCTGGAATCTGCCAGAATAAAGTATCGGTAGCAACGTTTTCCAAGAGGTTATCTTTTGGCAACCCTCACACCTCAGAAGGGGCTTAAAAGTTTTCTCTGTCCTAGAAACTCTGACCATGTGGACACTGGAAGAGAATAGGGCATATACAGGCTTTTGTTCATTCTTATAAAATAAGTCACATAAGAAAACCACAGGGACGTAAGCGTTCAATCCCAGGCTCCTCTTCCTCTAGCAAAAGGAAATATAATTTGGTCCTACATATTAAAGATAACCAAGAAAACAGATTGTGTTTCTGGAAAAACTCAAACTAGTTTAATAGCATCAAAATGACTTTAATATCATAGAAATGATTAGTCTTATACGCGAATACGGTGAAATAGTCAAACGATCAGACTGGAAGAAAAAAAAAAAGACGTGGAATTGAGAAACACAAATAACAGTAACCCCTAACTTGCGTTCCAGGGACGTCACCAGATAACGCACAGGCTGGGAAAGTTCACTAAGGAAGATGCCACTTAGGTTTGAGGGAAGATGTCATTTCATAAGCCTAAGAACACAGCAAAAGGGAATTTTAATATGCAAACTACATGAAAATGTATAGAAGTTGATACCAGCTGAAACAGCTGAGGGCCTGGAGGAAAGGACAGAGCAAACGCTGGACATGTGTCCACCCCATTCCCGGGAGAAGGGTCAGGAACTGAGAGGTCAGATCCATCCTCGGGGGCCTCCAGCCTCAGGGTCAGAGGAGAGACACCCACACCTCCGGCAACTCTCCTTGCGGGCGGCCCGTTCCCCACACAGCGAAACCCTCCTTTTTGTTACTTTGATCACAAAATGTGAAGAGTTGGAAGGGAATGAAAATTAACTGAAAAGCTGTAAGCACTTTTTAGGCAAATACTAGCTCCACCCTTTTCTCCTTTTCCCTTTGAGCAAATAAAGGCCGGAAAAGGCCTTGTGAATGGGACCGCACCTCCTGGACACAGGAGTAACACAGAACATCCTTGCCCGGCGACGCATTTCTCTGACAAACCTTGTCACCTGCAGTCGCTGTGACTGAGGTTTCCAGAACTTACCCCAGTGGAGAAACAAAGGTGTCACCTGATATTTACCACTCACATCAGAACAGGGACTTTGGGGAAAATCATATGAGCTCCAGATCCCAAGTCTGGCCCTGCCCTTCCCAGAGTCTGGGTGACTCTCACTCAACCCGCTCAACCGCTCAACCATAAGGCCCTGAGACCTGCCCCAGGGAACAAGTGCCTGAGGAAGGTGGCCGGGAGTTCCCTGGACTCTGGAGCCTCCGGGTTAGTGATCAACTCGGGGTTAGTGACCTGGCGATCCCGGAGATGAAAAGAGACAACTGATGTCTGCCAGAGTGTCCTACTCAAAGGCAGCTCATAAAGATGAAAAGTCTGCCCGAGGTAATTCCTATAGCGAAGTGCCCATAATGATGCCCTCAATCCTCAGGGAGAGCGACTCCTCAGACCTGTGCCCCAGCGCGGACGTCAGCCACTGGGGAACAAGGAGCCTTTTGTGGAGACAGTGGCAGGAAACACCACCCTCCGGACAGTTTTCCTTCTCTTGTGCACACACACCCCCTTCATACCGGTGCCAGGGACTACAGCCGCGCGCGGTGTCCCCTCGCTCTGATGTAAAACAGAACCTGCTCTCCCCTCCGAGCCTCCCCTGACCCCAATACCCGGTCACCAGCGAGTGTGGACTCCAGAGGAAGCCCACAACACCCGGGCGCCGATCTGATTGGTTACTTTCGGGGGGGAGGGGGATAAGATGCCAAACTTCACTTCTGGATTCCCCCGGTGGTGTTACAAACACGAACCAAAGTCCCTGCCTTTCTGGAGTGTGACTCTCCCATCTCTGAGTCCCCGTGCGGGCGCGACAGGCAAAGCCGAACGGGAGTCCCTTCCCAACCCCGGGCCGCATGCAAACCTACCAAGGTCTCCCCGGGGCAGCCCCGTCCCCTCCGGACTCCAGGGAGCGCGCGGCGGCGGGGCGGAGCAGGTGCACGCCCGGGCCGGGCCGTCGCAAGCCCGAGGTGCACCCTCGGCAAGCCGCGCCCGGCCGCAGCTGGGTACCCAGGGCCCGTCCCACCCCCGCGGGGTTCCCGAGGCTCGCACCCCCCGAACCCCGCGGGGTCTCCAGGGCCCGTCCCACCCTCCGGCCGCGGCGGGGTCCCCAGAGCCCGCACCCCCCACACCCCCCGCACCCCCGCGGCGGGCGGCACTCACGTATCTGTGCACCAGCGTCCGCACCAGGCTGCAGTCCATGGCTCCTCCGGCCG